TTTGCTTTCAGCCACATACAAGACAATTGCCCCCAGTGACATATTGCAACCCCACAGCAGTGGTGTTCTCCACAGGTCGCCATGTGGCTAAATCAGTTGACAGGGTCAACACAACAGGGAACAGACACAAATGAGGCAGGACAGAGGCTGGATATGTAGATAACAAATTTTTATGCTTGGGGGCACTGTGGTGCAGATGCAGTGGGCTGCCTGGCGTTGCCAGATGAGCTGATGGCCAGGTGGCACCTTTCATTCTGGAGCCCTACAAATTCTCTAGCCCAGGGGTTCCCCAATCCCTCCGCCGTGGCCTGGTACTGGGCCACAACCTATTTAAACCGGGCCGCAGCAAGCGGCAGACGAGCACGCTCATGCAGCTCCATTTGCACGAGTGGCAGGCACTCGAACGCGTGTGTGAAGCTCCGTTGGAGCTGTCCGTGTGAGCCTGCCACTCGCAAGGAACCGTTTCCTCTCCCCCTCCTCCCACCAAATCGCAAAGCCGGGAAGGTTGGGGACCGCTGCTCTAGCCTCTTGGCTCACGTAACAATGGTGGAGACCGTTTAACCCAACGGTCCCCAACCTTTTGGGCACCAGGGACAGGTTCCGTGGAGAGAGGTTTTTTCTGCGGACCGGAAGGGGTGTTGTTTCGCATGCTGCCTGCATCCCACAGATGGGGCTTTGTTGGTTTCTGTGGACTGGTTTCTAGCATGCCACGGATCGATGCCAGTTAATGGACTGGGGGTTGGGGAACCCTGATTTAACCAACCAAAGCAAACAGCAAACTTGATCATTGTTCATATAATAACAAAAAAAAAAAAACAATTAACCAGTGGAACAACTTGTCTCCAGAAGTTGTCAATGCTCCAACACTGGAAGTTTTTAAGAAGAGACTGGACAGCCATTTGTCCGAAATGCTATAGGGTTTCCTGCCTGAGCTGGGAGTTGGACTAGATGACTTCCAAGGTCCCTTCCAACTATTCTATTCTATTCTATTCTATTCTATTCTATTCTATTCTATTCTATTCTATTCTATTCTATTCTATTCTACTCCAGTCCAGTCCAGTCCAGTCCAGTCCAGTCCACTCATTCTATTCTATTCTATTCTATTCTATTCTATTCTATTCTATTTCATTCCACTCCACTCCATATTTTCTATTCTGTTCTGCTCTGTTCCATTCCACTCCAGTCCACTCCACTCCACTCATTCCACATATTCTATTCTATTCTATTCTATTCTATTCTATTCTATTCTATTCTATTCTATTCTATTCTATTCTATTCTATTCTATATTCTGTTTCATATTCTATTCTATTCTATTCTATTCTATTCTATTCTATTCTATTCTATTCTATTCCGCCCCGGTCTGGTCCACTCCACTCCACTCTATTCTCTTGCTTGATCTGCATAACGAACATGGTAAAAAAAAATGTAACAATGAGTCCAATTCATTTTACATATTTTTGACTCACGACCCTCAACGGATAAGCCCCATTATAGTCGTACCTCTATCTGTATAGACACAAGCATTGATTACGGACATTGTCTCCTCCTCATCTTTCCAAAGCAGACCTGCACCCCCAAATTATATGATCTTTATCTTTGTTCCTTTGTAACTTCTGTAAACAAACACTTTTCATTTTTATTTCTTTCTTAATCATTTCAATGCACGTCAATATATATATATATTTATTTCAGTGTTCTCGGTTTGTTTTTCTTTCTCAGCCTGAAAAACTGTCAGGAATAGGCGTTCCTAATTGGACTTTCGGACCCTTTTACTTCCTGGGGTTTTCTGGAACGAGATTTTGCCTTCTTGCCTCTGCACATCTTCGTTAGGAAAAGGCAGGAGACGAGAAGAAAGACCGCTGCTTTGCTCAGGAAAAGCGGGAGCCAGAGAACAAGGAGGGATTGTTGCGGCACACCTGCGGAGAAAAGACAGCGGATTATTTTGATTGAACCTAATAAAGCCTGCTCCATCAGGGTCTAGGACAACTTGCCATGGTCAACTCACTATGGTGAGTTGCAGGATAACTCACCACGGAGCAAGAGTAAGATGAGATGAGGTAAGATGAGGTAAGGTTAAGGTTAAGGTTAAGGTTAAGGTCAAGATAAGATAAGATAAGATAAGATA